CACACACACACACACACACACACACACACACACACACACACACACAGTGGTGCATTTACTGAACCTCCTGTGGATCTGAAATGATTCCCTGAATTCCTCCTGAGGATAAGTTTCATGAACTGAAGCTGTTTTTCTGTCAGACAATAACGAGCTCAGAGTCTCAGTTTTTAACACATTTATAAAACCGTCTCTGTTGGTAGCAAATCTAAAATCATTCCTGAAAATGTGAAAAAGTTTTATTCCAGTAATAAAACTGCTGCTACAGTATTTTCAGCTGTGGGAGTTGTCTTCTGCTTTAAGAGTGATGAGATGGATGTTTTCAGTCAAAGAGTCCAAACCCCACGCTCTGTGTCTGTCGGTCAAAGCGTCCACAGACTCCAGCAGCTCCAAGTCACAGCTGTCCCCTGAAAACATCATCATGGTTAGAAAACAAGCTGCACTGTGAGTAAAAAGGCTTTTACACAGAAATGACATTGAAAGAAACAACATTAATGTAAACTGTTTCTCTCTAACGTCTGATTTCAAATACTTCCTGATTTTGTTCCATTTCTGTTAGAATCCAATCAYGGTTTCAGGCTGCAACACATTCAGATATTTCTGAAATAAATCTAAAAATCTCTGCATAAGTTCTACTTTAAATAAAAGTCAAAGATTATGGACAAGTCTCAATTGTTTTAGTTGTAATTTTCACTGTTTCTAATGTTTGGGTATTGTTTGCAGTAAGGATATGGAATTTATATTCCCTACTAACATGTCAATCCACTCAGCCTGCATGTCCTGTCAAACTAATAGTTAGAAAATTTATGCTGACTTCTAAACATTGTTTTAAGACTAAATTACCCAGTTAGATTTATTTTATCTATTTGTCAACATTGCATTGTGTCCAGTTGAAACCAGAAGTTTACATACACCATATAAAAAGACACACGTGCATTTTTTCACACTTTCTGACGTGAAATCAGAATAAACTTTTCCCATTTAAAGTCAATTAGGATTACTGACATTTGTTCATTTGCCAGAATAATGAGAGAATTTTTAAGGTGATTTCATTACTTTATTCAAAGTCAACAGTTTAAATACATTTCATTAGTATTTGGTACCATTGGGCCGGATGTAAGAACATGTTGGTATTCTTCTCCTAAATTTCTCTTACTTTTGTTCGTACAAAGGGTTCGTACGAACATGTCACGTCAGATTCAACAAACTMTTCTATCTTCAGGAAAAGTGTGTAAATGAGCTGCGTAAATTCACCTGTTCTATCCAGCTGCTCGTGCACGTGAGAGGAGATTAGCATAATTACCTCCCCAATAACTCCATATAAGGCTGTGTTTCCTGCCTCAGATATCAGGAAGTGTTCATTCATGAAAATGACAGTGAAAACTAAAAAGAAGAACTTTACGAGTTCAGAGATTGAAGTCCGTCTGTCAGAGATCCAGAAAAGAAAATCTGTCATTTTTAGCAGSTCAGCTGTGGAATAAAAAGAGCTGCTAAAAGTATAAACAACTGTGTTAAATCATTTTCATTTATTCAGAAGACAAACCGTCGCGCAGTGTAATTTATTTTCAACTCAAAATATCTTCAAACTAATGAAATATAAAGTTMTTAGTGAAGAAAACCCGTCTGGATAACAGCAGACTGACTGCTGGTAAAATATACGACAGGTCTGGACCACTCCTGAATTTTGTTCGTATCTGAAAAAAATCGTAGAATATGAAAACATTGGTGAATGTCACAAATTCTCCTAAATCACTCGTACGAACAACTTAAGAACAAATCTGTGTACCAACGGTTCTTACATGAGGCCCAATGACTTTAAAAGGTAGGACTTGGGCCATGTATGKTGGATCTCCTTCCACAAGCTTCTCACAATAGTTGCAGGAGTTCTGTCTCATTCCTCCTGACAGAGCTGGTGGAACTGAGCCATGTTTGTAGGCAGCCTTGCTCACATGTGCCTTTTCAGTTTGCCCATAACTTTTCTACAGGGTTGAGATCAGGACTTTGTAGTAGCCTCTCCAAAACATTGACTTAGTTCTCCTTGAGAAACTTTGTAACCACTTAGTTAACTAGTCTGCTGAAGAAATATACTGTAGTACAGTTTAGTCAGGGTATATGAGTTGCTGCTCAGGAAGGACTTCATGTTATTTTGAATATTATTTTTGCTTTAATTTATTCGTTAGAAAAAAAGGAGCAGATATAATAAGATTTTTTCCTTTCTTTCATTTAATTTGTGATTTGTTTTTATAATTATGTATAGATTTTTTTCTTTTGGTTTTTAATGAATGAATGAATAAATAAATTAATTAATAAAGCAGAGCAACATTTAGTGGGCTAAGATCAAAAGTAAAGTGATAGAAATAAAACAATGTAACTGAAAGGAAAGCATCATTTTATAAAACAAACTAAAACGTGTGGCTGATTTTACCCCAAAAAACCATCTGAAGTTTAAAACCCAATAATTATCCAGCACCATCCTCCTGCAGTAACATCCAGCTGGGTGTAACGTATTGGACTGTGTGTGTCAGACCAGAACCATCAGAACTGTAAGTGATACTGACCAAACAGATTGTGGACCTGATCATCAGGAACCAAAAACGGAGGACCTAAAAGACAAGCGACAGTCAAACCTGCAGCATGTTCAGGTGTTTCAAAGGAAATCTGAATAAAATGGTTGATTTCAGAAGCAGACACAGACTAGTCTCTGCTGAGTCTAACCTTTATATAACTCAGGATTGTACAGAAGTGTGTCCAGAAGGTATCTGCAGTCTGGGGCCATGACAGACATGATGAGAGCAGCATACCTGCAGAATCCAGGAGTTAGCCACCATCAAACCATAATAGGACTTTTTTGGCTAAAAATGTTTGAATCAGTTGTCACCTCTTTCTGTCCTTTGGGTTGATTGCCACCAGAGATCCACGGTCCCAGATTGCTCCAAACTCACCTCCAACAGAGCTGCAATACACAAACTAATTCAGACAGAAGGAAACACTTCACAAAAAACAATCTCAAAACCTGGAGAACTTCTCACCTGGAGAACCTGAACAGGTCGCACTGATACAGGGAGATGTTCTTCTCTAAGTTCTAATGGAAATAATAAAATATACTTCAGATCAGTTTAGTTTATTTATATAGCATCAAGTAACACAGATCTCTGGTTTCCTAATTAAAGGTTTAATTACAGCAACCTTAAAGCTCTGAGGCACATAATCATTTATTAAAGATAAATTAAGTACATCTAAAATATAAATATTAATTAAGGGAAATGCTTCTTTGAACAGTCTGGTTGGGWTGGGATCTAGCAGACATGTTGATGGTTTGGATGAAGTTATTATTTTAGATAATTCAGAGCTCAACAGGACAAAAACTGTCCAACATAAGTCAGGTTGTAGTGACACTAAAGCTGCCTCATCTGACAGAGTCAGAGACAGTAACAGGAAGTTTGGTTTGAATTTATTCCTTATTAAAATTATTTTATCTATAAAGAATCTAATGAAGTCATCACTACTTAGAGTTACAGGAATACATGGTTGAACAGAGACAGGATTTTCATTAGTTTAGCTACAGAACTGAACAGAAACCTGGGATAGTTTTTATTCTCTTCTATTAAAGATGAATAATATACAGTTCTAGCTTTAAGAAGGGATTTCTTATATGTTAGCAGCTGTGTCTCCAGGTTAAATAAGATTCTTCTGTTAGTGGAGCGACATTTTCTCTCTAKTTTTCTACATGTCTGTTCTAAAGAACGTAACTCTGAATTAAACCAAGGAGTCGACTTCCTCCGATCGATAACTTTCTTTTTCAGTAGTGATGTGCAGATTGATACTGAAATATCAATACTACTGATACCAGAACTTTATGTTCTAGAATCAATACTAAAATCAAAATAGCGATACTTTGATACTTCAGTTATTTCATATAATGCATATCATTAACAGGAAAATAACTAAACTACTCCAATCTTGTCTTAATCATCCGTGTTTGGAGGAAACCTCATCTGTTTGGGTGGTAATGCACAAGCACAGCGTTTAGTCTGGTAGTCTGGGGCAGGTCATTTTAACATAAAACCTGCTTCATCTGACTGTTTTTACATTTTAGATGAGGGGTTCCCAAACCTTTTCATGCCACGGACCCCCAAACAGCCTTAGCTCTGGCCAGGGACCTTCTTGCAAACCCACAAACAAAGCTACAAAATATATACAAAGTAAACACTTTTAGAATATTTTTTCTCATTTTTATTCACTATTCAAAAATTAATATATTTATTTTTATTATAAGTATTTTAATTTATGCTAAACAAATATAAGGTTAGGGTTAGAAAGATTTTTAAATTAAATTAATTATTATGTCATGTATTATTTAAAAAGTGGTTATTTGGAAAACACTACTTTTTAAAATTTACCAGGCATATTGTGTTTGTTATCACAAAGTATCAGTACAGGATCAGTATCGGTGATACCAGACAAATTTTACTTAGTATCAGTTTTTAAAAAAATTGCCTTTATCAAACATCACTATTTTTCAGATTAGCAATTCCATTAAGAGAGGTTTGCATTAAAGTTGTAATATTATCAACAAGACCAGCTAAATGTTCTGTTACATTATTCTGTAAGACAGAGGAGAATAATGATGGAAGAGATTCTTTAAATTTAGCTACAGTGTTCTCTGATAAACATCTACTGTAATGAAATTTACTCTCAGGAGCTATAAAGTTAGCTAATGTAAACTCAGAGGTTATTAAAAATGGTCAGAGAGAACAGGACTGTGAGGAAAAATCATTMAGTTCTTACTCTCTACACATACAGCAGAACCAGATCAAGAGTGTGATGAAGAGAATGAGATTTGTGGACATTTTGATTTCATTCATCGGCTCTTCTTTCCTTCTGCTTTGAGGGGTTGTTTTGTGTGAGCTGGTWTGACAATGATCTGAGTTCTGATATGATGCACTGTTAGAGTCAACCATGTCCAACAGACTAAACCTGTGGATCAATCTTTATAAGTGATGAAGTGAAGGTAGTCCATCTTACCCACCTTAAAGAGTTTTGCTCCAGGTATAGAAGGAATTGGCTCTTCAATGAATGCCATGTTGTTCTCCGTAAAGAACTGCCGAACAGCCTTTTCAGAGATCTCCACTCCAACCACTGCATGACCCTGATCAGCCAACCTGATACGACATGGCCAGGTCAGGTTGCATGACACAAACATGATGTGATTTATCTGACTTTCTGTTCGTACCACTTCATGTCCACAGCTTTACCACAAAGAGGAAAAAAGAAGCGAACTCCAGTTCGTCCATTCAAAACTTTCTGCAGATGGTTCTTCAACATCCTGTTGGACATCAAACTATCATCAATGTAAGGTTAAGTAAGAAGAAGAAAAACATAAGAAACAAAAATTAATCTTCAGGGGAACATAGTTTTAAATACATCTGTCTGGTTAGGGTTAGTTAAATGTGTGGCAGGACCAGTGGCCTTAGTCCAGACCTCAGACTGTGAGAAGAAGTACTAAGTTTGAAATGGTCAAAGCGGTAGGCTGGAGCTTAATCACTTGGGCTTTAAAATGAAGGAATAGAATAGTAAAATAAAAAAGGTACCAAAATGTACTGTGAGCCAGTTAAAAAACTCTTCAGAGTTTAAAAATATTTCTGAACTGGAAAAAGCTGTGACTGTTACCTGTTGTATATTTACACATTTACACTTTAAACAGTTATTGTTCCCTTTCTTGATGTTATCCTTAGTTTGGTCTCCTTCTTGTTCAGAGTGTGGTCTTTTTTATCCTTTATCCCTTCTCGTTTCATGGTATCCTTTAAGTGCTTGATCTTTTTCTTTCGTCTAGCTGTCTCCTGGCATTCAGACTGGTCAGCAAAGTAAGAATTTCATTTCTCAGGGAAACATGTTTCATCTGTGTTTATGACAATAAACCCTTTGAATCTTGAATCTTTGAAATACTACATACAGTATGTAAAATATATAGTATTATATACAGTTCTACATAAAAGAAATGGCTTCAGCAGCTTCCAGAATCACTAATCAGTCACATTATCTTTGACTCATTCTGTCAGAAATGTCCCTGTAATATTTTATAATCTTATGATTTGATCTCATTATTACTTTATCTTTTTTAACCATGTCCTGGATGACCAAGAATCCACTGTAGAGTTTAGATTTATAGCCCAAGCCTGAGCTTCATTTGGGCCTAAATGATATGGTTGACAGTCGTGTCGTGTTTCTGGTGTGCTTTGAATAAGTCTACAAACCTTAGAGCAATGCATGATCTAAAGTTGTGTTAGTCTACTGATCACACAGTCTGCTGGAGAAAAAACAAAGGAGGAAGGTGGAGAAGTGAAGCACTCTGTACAAAGCTTTCTTTTCTGAACCGTATCTGACGTTGTGACGGTCGGGAGGGGGGAGAGGGCCAGGCTGGGGGGGGTAGTGGTGCGTGACTGCTCCTCCTCTGAATAAATGAAAACTATGTAACACAGTTGTTTACACTTGAATTTAAACTATTTGACCAAAGAAAAAGCAGAGCAGGACTAGAGGGAGATGAATATGATTGTGTGTCTGTGAAGGACCCACAGGAGACACAACATTAACAGATCATTTCATTCCTGAGCTATAACAGGTCTGACGCTGATGAAACTTTACGATAAGAATACAAACATGTTTTTGTRTGAGAGACCCACTGATCTTCAGACTCAGACTGGGTCAGGTCAGGTATTTTAGGTCTGATCTAAACTCTGATCTAAACCAACATGTTTCTCCGTATTTTTGGAAGAACAAACAAAGTGTGTTAAAGTGTGTCAAAGTGTGTTAAAGTGTGTTAAAGTGTGTTAAAGTGTGTTAAAGTGTGTTAAAGTGTGTTAAAGTGTGTTTACATGTGTACAGCTGGCTGATGGAAGCCGATCCGGTTCTCCTGCCAACGGTTCTCCCATTCAGTCAGTGCCATGACCCGATCAGCCTGCTGTTCCAACATCCTACACACACACACACACANACACACACACACACACACGTTTCTCCTGCTCACAGCTGCAGATTCAGCGTTCCTAAAGTTTCCTGATGATCACTTCAGAGTTTATTAAAAGTGACTGAGCACAGGTGCATTGTGGGACGGCAGCAGCCTCAGATTTACCTGCTCCTCCCACCGATCGACCCTGTTCGTCTGTCTTTACGAGAAGTGACAGCTGACACGCTCCGTTTGGTGTAAAACAAGTTTCACAGTCCTGCAGCAGAGCCCAGAAGAATCCAAGTCGAGTCATTTCTTTTCATTTCTTGGCGGCGTCGGAGCAGAACTCTGATGGGATTTAAATTGAGCGAGGAGCCAGGTGTCTCAGGTGGCTCGTGCTCCGAGTCAGCAGCTAAATGAATCCATTCACAGTTTCTTCTGTCTGTACTTACAGCCTGATGGAGTCAGACATGTCCTGCTGTCAGACTGGATGCTGAGTCAGAGGGTCCAAACAGGACCGCTCCTGAACACAACCTCAGGATGGAGACTGTAGATGTCTATCTGCTGCCTGAAGACACTGACATGTTTCACAAAGACTTGTTTAACCTGTGAAGACAAGTCCTGCTTCTGACTGCAGCTGAACAACTGATGGATGATGGAGGCTCCTGCAGACAGTTTCAGCTGAATGTAGGAGATATTTTACTGACAGATGACAACCACACGTTAGATTCATTTAGTCTGAGGGGGCAGGACTTTACTGATCCAGACCAGGAAGATACAGGTCATCCTGTGTGTGTGTGTGTGTGTGTGTGTGTGTGTGTGTGTGTGTGTGTGTGTGTGTTTTTGCTACTTGGTGGTGACGATTTGTCAGGAAAATGCATCCTTGTGGGGACCAAGATGTGAATTAAGTTTATGCTGGATTTAGGATCAGGCAGGTTCTGGAGCTGTTAACTGTAGAGTTGGGGTCAGGGTCAGGTTATACAATGACCAGTAAATGTATGATGGTCAATGGAAAGTCCCTGCAAGGATAGAGAAACATAGCGTGTGTGTGTGTGTGTGTGAGAGAGAGAGCCACCATGTTGCTTCCTGCCAGGTGTGATGATGGTGTGAGGTCCTCAGCTCAGTTTCACTCAGTGAATCTGGAAACATGAAGCTAAGAGGCTGGATGCTGAAGGTCAGTGAAGCTGAGAGCATCACAAAACACACACATCACCTGTCACACAGACAGGAAGTGACCTCAGACAAACAGGAAGTGACCTCAGACAAACAGGAAGTGACCTCAGACAACAGGAAGTGACCTCAGACAAACAGGAAGTGACCTCAGACAACAGGAAGTGACCTCAGACAAACAGGAAGTGACC